TGAATAGATTTTTGTGCCTGGCCTAGTAAGTTTTCCTCACTATTTTGTAAGGCTGTCTGAGGACTGATTAGACACAGTGAAAGTGAAGAGTGCTAAGTATAGGCAACAGATCAGAACCAATGATTAAACTGTAAAAGCTTAACAAAATTCTAACAATGCTAAACAGTTAAGTATTTGATACAATTGGGAGAGGGGAGAAAAAGAGTATTGATTCAATGAATGGAAACTGAACCCTAATACTACTTCATGCAAAAGTTGGACCTAGTACCACTATACAGTACCCACTGTATGCTAGTACCATTTTATTATTCTGGTCCCTGCACCATCTCAGACCAATTTTCTGTTTTCAGACATGTCTGATATTTCAAGGAAGCAGTGTAGGTGTTTCCTTCGTGACAGCTGCAGTCTGCTCTTGCAACAGCACTGCCTGTCAAACTAAAACAGTGGGTCTCAGTTGGTTCTATTTTCATTCCATTAATGCCCTCATTTCCAAGACACATGAGGTGTCTGTTTACCCTTGTCTTATTTATTTTCCATAAATTAGTTCCCAGAGTTAGAAGTTGGACATTTCATTCATTTTTCACTCCTCGGGGATGCCTGACAACCAAATTAAGTCTTTGGTAATGAGCTTACCCTAAATAAACTGAAAAAGAGTTTGTCTAGCTGGAAACACACATTAGACCAGGGGTTGGCAACGTTTGGCACGCGGCTCGCCAGGGTAAGCACCCTGGCGGGCCGGGCAAGTTTATTTACCTGCTGACGCGGCAGGTTCGGCCGATCGCGGCGCCCACTTGCCGCGGTTCGCCGTCCCGGGCCAATGAGGGCGGTGGGAAGCGGCGCAGGCCGAGGGATGTGCTGGCCGCGGCTTCCCGCCGCCCCCATTGGCCCGGGACAGCGAACCGCGGCCAGTGGGGGCCGCGATCGGCCGAACCTGCCACGTCAGCAGGTAAATAAACTGGCCCGGCCCGCCAGGGTGCTTACCCTGGCGAGCCGCGTGCCAAACATTGCCGACCCCTGCACTAGACTCAATAATGGTTGATTCATAAACTCCCTAACACATCTGAATCCTCTCCAGAGAGGTTGCTACAAGACACCTTCATGACCCAATTACGTTTGCCCTGTTTCAGGAACAATGATTACAGCAATGAATGGTACAGATTTTAATATATTCCTTTAAACAGAAGTTCAGGGGAAAAGGCAACAGATGAGTGAGTCAACCTAGAAGTATAAATGGGTGATTGGTCCAGTCACACAGCAATTCAAAATTCGCTGTACTGTCTCTCACCCTTTTGTACTGAACTGTCCCAGACTTCCAAATTACATAAAAGTATTTTTCCTATGACTGCACTTCACTGATTGTGTTAGTATCACTTTTAGACAGACTAAAAATCAGTATTTCTAAACCATGTATACCAAGCTAGTTCATATTATAAATGAACATGCACACGCAAATTTAAATTTGTAAATGGGTAGTATTTTGCTGTGGACCCTAATCTATTTTAAACCTCTATTTAGCAGCATACAAATGTCAGATTTCAGCAGTCTTCTCTTGTTCTACAAATTTTAAACTGTTAATGTCTCAGACTGAATAAAAAAAGCACATTAAAACAGATTTGAGAGAGAACCTTCTTGCACCTCAATCAATCAAAGAGCTTCACGTGAAAAGGGACATTACCAAAGCTTTATATGGAATCTAATAAAATAAGAGCTTATATAAGTCCCTCACATATGAACATGCATACACAGTATAAATTACTATTCAACGTAAGGCTTGCCCTGTTTAAACTGGAGACATTTTTTATTTTAATTAGAAAATGAGCTAAATCATTCTCTCAGCACATGTATACAAACGAAGAGCTAAGACTAAACAAAAGTACAAATGGGCATATATAAGATACTGACTTCCAAATGCATTTGAGCTACACACCCCTGCTCCTTACACCATTAACAAGTCTTTGCCTTGGTAATATGCACACATGCACCTGCCTCTTCCCCCATGTACAGTCTATCCAGAAAGGCTGTGCATCCTCTTGCTCTTTGGGAAATTACTAAGCCTAAAACATTGTAAGGGACAACTCTGACCTAGGGCACTCATCTCTCCAGCCTGCATAAAATACCGTCTGGATGTGCATTGCTGTGGCAGCAGTGCACTGTAGTATCTCACAATATACCCAGGTTTGGGGGGTGAATCTGACTCCTGCCACCTAGCTTGATTGAGATCATGTGGGTTGGGCAAATGATACTGTTTTTCCTTCTGTCAACACATTTTGGAATTAGGAAAACATTTTAAAATGTATGAGATAGAAAAACTATTTCCCTGTAGAAAGACTCAAATAAGTGCTGTTCAAAAGTTTCAATGGCACTAGGACCATTTCTTCATCAGGGTGTTGGTGCTTAAGGAAAGATCCCACTCAAGGTCACCTATAATAAGTAAAAATGAGAGACTGGATGGTACAGTTTCTACTTACCCTTTTACTAATCTGCCACTTGGAATCTACTCCAACCGTTTCTTGTGCACTGGCCAGTAATTACACCAACAAATGACAGTACTATTTCACTTCTCTTTAACATGGCTCTAGCTAAGAACCAGCCCATTCCACAGGAGCAAGCCTCACCCCTCAGTGGAAGTCAACAAGGGGAAATCATTGTCTTCCTCCATCTTGAGCTCACCTGGGTTAAGCCACAGGAGGGAGCACTGTGGCTCTGTATATTTAATATAAACAAATACAACAACAAGAGCCTACACATTAAAGGGTACTAAGTATTATAATGGTGCTGTTTAAAGAGAGAGATTTTTCTACTAGGGAGAACACCACTAATGGTTCTAGTTACATTTGATGAAGGAGCATCTGTCTCATCAAAGGACATGAAACAACATCAACTCTTCCGCTAGTAAGTACACATGGTATTCTGGAAGGATGATGCTTATGTATCTCATCTTCTAGGCCATTTACAGTGGACAAGAGGTTAAGATTTAGAAAGAGTGCTTGACTGAAGGAAACATATCTTTTGGATCTACAGGCAGCTGTTTATTCATCTAGCCAGAACGATTATAAGCATAAAACTGTCGTTAAAAGGGGAAGTCAGAGATCAGCTTCTCCAAAGCTGCATTGGTCCAAACGATGTAGGTTTCCCCAAGGCAGATGCTATGTCGTCAGAGAGAGGCTACCAACTTATGAAAGCCATAATTCTGATCTCATGCTTGACTTCATTGGTGTTACTCCTGTATCACCCTGGTGTAATTGAGATCAGAATCTGGCTCAATGTATATTAAAAATAATGCCTGGCTATCACCTGGAAACTGAATAAATCAGAGAAGGATAACACTAAACTGTGCTTTAACTATTCACAACATCAATTTACAGAAGCCATGCTTAAGAGAGTTCATTAATTCCAATATACAAAAAAAATACACTCTCTGTAGTTGGGAAATTTATGCCAGAGGTGCATCTCCCTATTTATATTTTTTGATCTCTACACTAATTATTTTCCTCTTGGCATAAGTGCATAATTCTTACATAATTTACTTTAAATTGCACATTGCATTTAGGGCAGAATAGGCCTCACTCATTGTAATTGTTTCTCATAGTTCTGGAATTAGGCCAAATTCCATCTTCATTGTTCAGCCCTCCCCTACAGATTGGTGCTCACACATGATGAGTGGTGTTTAAATTCTGTGGAGTGAAAGATATATGTTCACCAACTGAAAGAGATATGGATAGGGAAGAGAGAGGAGAGGGGGAAAAAGAGCTTCTGAATCTTTACTTTTGTTTTTTATCAAGAGGCATAGCCTATTGCATCAGGCAGCCTGTGCTAGGCAGGAAATCCTGTAAATAGGTGGCTACAGCTTTCGTTAAGTATGTCATAGTTCCATATGCCCCACTTGGAGCACTGTCATAGAAAAAGTGGCAAATTCCTGTGGCGAGGTCTCGCTCCAAGAAGTCATCATTTCCTCCAAGTGATTTCTGAGAGGGGGAAAATAAAAAGGAGGGGAGGAGAAAAATCAGATATCCACGTTCAGATCAGAATTACTAAGCTTAAAAATAAATCCTAGACTAGGACTACTGTTGTATCTGCACTGAATATGGAAAACAGTTCTCCCTTCACGAATTCCTTTCCAAAGACTGTAGGACAACATAGGTTATTTAGAACCTTTTTCTCTACCTATGCTAATTCAGTTCTCTTAACTTCCCCTTTATGGACTTTATTTTTTGCATTTCTCTGGTAACACACAACTAGCTATTTTTTCCATCTCTACTTAAACAGTGTCCCTTTGGTTTTTAGTATTCTGGTGATGTAAAAAGTGATTTTAAACAGATATTTAGACTTGAGAACATTCCCCTGCTATAACTGTAAAACTGCACCAAAAGAGACTGTGTTTCGTTAATTGCAGGAGTTTTTAATCTTCTGAATACATTTTCAAAAGATGCTTACATGACTTGCTTTTTGAGGAAGGAATTTTTTTCCCCACAAATACCAAAAATGGAGTTAGACAGTTTCAAATGCAATACCTTCCCAATCTCACCCTCAGATATTACTGGAAATCTGCTGTACCCACCTGTTCCTGAAGAAATAGATCGTTAGCCACGTGCACTATTCGATCCACATGGATTATGCCCCCAATGCTGGTCACCTCTATGTCCGACAGCAGTGTGAGAACAAGAATAGCTTCCACCAGCAGCTGTCTGTATTCAGGCTGGGGTACATGGTTCAGCACTGACTCCACATGCACAGCAAACTTGATTTCACAAGGGGTCATCTGGAAAGTTAGGGGATAGGTTAGTGGAAAGTAGGACTGTTGATTAACCACAGTTAACTCATGCAATTAACTCAAAAAATTAATCGCGATTAAAAGAATTAATCGTGATTAATTGCAGGTTTAATTGCACTGTTAAACAATAGAATACCAATTGAAATTTATTAAATATTTTGGATGTTTTTCTTCATTTTCATATACATTGTATTCTGTGTTGTAATTGAAATCAAAGTGTATATTATTTTGATTACAAATATTTGCACTGTAAAAATTATAAACAAAAAAAGAATATTTTTCAGTTCACCTCATACAAGTACTGTAGTGTGATCTCTATCGTGAAAGTGTAACTTACAAATGTAGATTTTTTTGGTTATATAACTGCACTCAAAAACAAAACAGTGCAAAACTTTAGAGCTTACAAGTCCACTCAATCCTACTTCTTATTCAGCCAATTACTAAGACAAACAAGTTTGTTTACATTTACAGGAGATAAATGTAAACAAACACTTCTTATTTATAATGTCACCTAAAAGTGAGAACAGGCATTTGCATGGCACTTTTGTAACTGGCATTGCAAGGTATTTACGTGCCAGATATGCTAAACATTCGTATGACCCTTCATGCTTCAGCTAGCATTCCAGAGGACATGCTGATGACGCTTGTTAAAAAAATAATGCGTTAATTAAATTTGTGATTGAACTCCTTGGCAGAGGAGTCCCCTGCTCTGTTCTACCTGCATTCTGCCATATATTTCATGTTACAGCAGTCTAGGATGATGACCCAGCACATGTTCATTTTAAGAACACTTTCACTGCAGATTTCACAAAATGCAAAGAAAGTATCTGTGACACTCTGTACCTTGGGGGAACACCCTACACCCCCATGTTCATCTTTATAAAATGATTGTGTGGTATCCAATGCAAAGTTTATCATGTTGGGTGTCTTCCGAAGGCTCATGATGCACTGAGCATGGCTGTTATAGTGATGTTATAGTAATTGTTACAGTAATGTTATAGTAAGGTTATAGGTTACAATTTCATGTATATAGTTAAGAGGCTGAAAATGAATCCTCATGGCTTAGAGCAAGCCCAGGCAAAAACTTTCCAAGAGCAGAGAGGCAGTTCACATCTCATCAGGGCAGGTATGGAACAAACCCAGCCCAGCCTCACAGGAACAAAGGGCGCTGGTCTAGGCAGCAACAAAAGGATCTGTTGGACTCTCGAGTGAGTCACCCCCCTTCCTTTGGTCAGTTTGGAACTGCGATGAGGTAATGCTCACCTGACTCTGAAGGGATGCGGGGGGAGGGGGGCAAAGCCAAGAAGGAAGAAAGGACAAGATAAAAGGGAGAGACGTTTGCCATGTTCTCTCTCTCTTCCACCTACATCTACAGACACCACACCAAGCGACTGAAGCGCTGATCAAAGGGGAGAACCTGGCTGAAGAGCAACCAGCCAGCCTGTGATGAGAAGCATCTAAGTTTGTAAGGGCATTGAAAGTGTTAAGATCAGCTTAGAATGCATTTTGCTTTTATTTCCTTTGACCAAATCTGACTTATGTTTTGACTTATAATCACTTAAAATTTATCTTTTGTAGTTAATAAATCTGTTTGCTTATTCTACCTGAAGCAGTGCGTTTGGTTTGAAGCGTGTCAGAGACTCCCTTTGGGATAACAAGCCTGGTACATATCCATTTCTTTGTTAAATTGACGAACTCATATAAGCTTGCAGCGTCCAGCGGGCATAACTGGACACTGCAAGACGGAGGTTCCTAGGGTTGTGTCTGGGGCCGGAGATATTGGCTAGTGTCATTTGGTTGCAAGTAGCTGGGAGCAGCTTACATGCCAGAGGCTGTGCGTGAACAGCCCAGGAGTGGGAGTTCTCACAGCAGAGCAGGGTAAGGCTGGCTCCCAGAGTCAGCAATCAAAAAAAAATTCTGTAACTTCCAGAAAAGTCTGTTACACTATTACTATCTGTCAACACACATTGCTTACATATGGGAACGTTGATGCTTATTATCTTGCAAATTCATTCTTTGATCACAATATTAACCTCACATTATTTTGTGTAGGCATCTTTTTGGATCACAGGTTTTGTTTATGAAGCCAAAGATACTGTAGAGATTAAAAAAAAAAAAAACCCACATCACCGGCTAAGAGTGAATGTTATCCCAAAGATTGATATCTACATTGCTGCTAGAACAAACAACTTTGCATGGGCAGAGCTGTGCAGATGTCATATGAAATGATAGTCTCAGGAAGTTATGCTTATTTAGTTTGATTCCTATTAACAGTGAAATTAGATACGGTCAAGGTCAGACAGGTCTAAAAATGAATCCTCTTTTTTGTAACTAGCCTGATGTTGGAGGAGGATGTGGGGAGGAGGGGAAACTTATCACTTCCACAAAATAAGGACTGCAATACCACAGAAAATTTCATCTTCTTTTGCAGCTGTTACCAGCACCATAACATAGAGTGATGCCTATGTTTCAAACAGGGATATGCACACTGAGCTGTGCCTCCATTCTGCTTGTCTGCTCTATTTGTATGAGCAGACAGGGGTCTGCATTACATAGGAATTCAGTAGGATTGTTGTGAATTTCAATACTCTACATACTTACAAGAGTGAGGCAGATAGGCAGGATGGCATCGTTTGCATGTATAATACATCTGTAAACTTAAAGCCAGACTGTCTAATTTTAGGCCTACCAATCCTAACTGTATCCTGTTAATTCTGAAAACAGATTTGAAGGCGAGTGAATGCTGTCCAAGTGTTTTAACCAATTAAATGGCAATAAAGCTTACAAGTCAGAATATGCAACTCAACTGCTAGAAGAGGGCCTCATCCTCCCTGATTGAACTAACCTCATTATCTCTAGCCTGACTCACGCTTGCTTGCATATTTATCCCTGCCTCTGGAAATTTCCACTACATGCATCCGACGAAGTGGGTATTCACCAACGAAAGCTCATGCTCCAATACGTCTGTTAGTCTATAAGGTGCCACAGGACTCTTTGCTGCTTTTACAGATCCAGACTAACACGGCTACCCCTCTGATACAAGTCAGAATATGAGAATCATGCAGTATTACACTATACAAGGCAGACATTATGCTTTTACAAGGGATGGTATTCATTTTAATCAAACAGCAATATTACACTGATATTCATTAATATATACCCATGAGTGAGGTGCCACCTTATAAGTGGTATGGGTGACAGTCACACCATAAGAGGTACTGTCATCGGCATACATGAAATTGTTAAAACCCATGGCTTGCTGTACCAAAAGATTTTGCATTTCACAAGTGTAATGCCGCCTGTGCAAATTGCACAATTGAATCAACCGTAGCATTTAAGAGCAAGAAAAAAAAGTTTTTTATCATAGTGAACAAAGAGCTGCCGGGAAACTGCTGGAGGAGCAGGTAAGGTCTGCTCCTGCGGTGAAGAAAAACCATCAGTTCTGGAGACAAAGCAGCCCTGGTGGTAAACAGCTATCCAAGGAAAGACAATTTTGGGATCAAAGATCCCTGAGAGTGGAAGCAGGAATGGAGCATTGTAGGGTTTTGGTTGGGGGTGGGGTGAAATTCACATGCTTCTCTTTTCCTGGAGGGAACATACTCAAATATCTTCAATTGACAAGAATGATTACAGTTTGCAATCTGTGAAACAGTTACTCTCCAGATGCTGAGAAACAGGCAAGTGGAAAGGTTTAGAGACAATAATTTAACCTACTCACTCTACAGCTCGGTAGCCTTATAACTTGGTTCCGTTTTATTGGCTCAGAGCATCATTACACTATATCATACTGCGTCAAGGTCCTAACATGCAAGATTGTTTGTGGTTCAGGTGGTGGCAGAGGTGGTAGGTGGGTCTCTTCAAAGTCTAGGATCGTGAATGAATGGGAAAACTAAAATAAAACATCTATGTGTAGCATAAATGATCTACATTGACAAGGGAATCACTTGGAATCACTGAGTCCTATTGATGGATAGTTGCAACACACAAAGGAAGCAAGACTCTAGCACTTGCTCTCTCAGATTGAAACAGCTCAAAAAAATTATATGAAGAAAGAACAAAGGTTTAAAAAGGCAAAATTTGGGTCAGCCACATGTCTGTGATTCGTATTTGTTTTTATAACCACAGTGCTGGAATACTGTCTGCAGTCACAGAATTCTAAACAGGTATTTGTCTTTGTTTAATTTCAGCAAATTGTTTAATTTTCCTAACTCGGCTTCTATTCCCTTTTGTATTTGCCACCCTCTGTTTTAATACTTAAACAGAACTGAGTAAACTTTAACCTCTCTTTAGTAAAAAATTAATACTTGAACAGGGAAAATTAAGAGAAAAAGACTGACTGCACATTAGCCACCAAAAAAATGTTATGTTATTGCTATTTTCTAGGAAAATTGCATCCAGAGGTCAAGGATGGGAAATCTTGCTTCTAAATTCAGAATGTGCCATCAAGATTAATGATCAACTCACTGCAGGTGCAGAGCTCTGATACTTCATTGCCTGTGGTTAAAAATAACTTCATTTTCTTAAATGCACAGAGGGAAAAGGATATAAGTTAAAAGTGATGTTGAATAAGTGAATGAGGCTCACATTATGGTACATCATAGAAATTATACTAACACATGCAAACCTCAGATGTTCTAAATATAATCTTATGTTGTCGTGGGAAAGCCTAGTATTTTCAAGACTTGCATCTGTGAACATCATGGATCTCAGATTAAAATTTGCCCTACAGTATCCGTCACTCATACATTCAGCAGAACTATTAGTTAAGATTCAAACTGTAAAACTTCCATTGTAAGCTTAGATTTTAAATGTTTTAAAACAAAGCGTTTTCTCCAATGATCCTGTTACATCGTGTGCTTGAGAGTCATACAACTTATCATAAAATCGTGGAAAGACCCCATTAATATTATTATTTACTATACCTCTCTTGTAGTTGAAGAAGGAAGGACATAGCCATCAATGGACAGGCCATGGCACTAAAAAAAAATTTTAAAAAAATCAGTGATGATTAAAAACACAATCCTTAAAAGTATATCTGGAATCTTGTATTCTTTTTGAGTTTTAAATTCTTCCTGGAAAAGCTGTTCTGATGTCTGACAAGTTTTAAAAACAGTGAACCCATAGAAAATGTTATTTCATTTGTCCCAAAAAGTTCATCAGATGACAAGAAAACTATTGGAGAGAAAGACTGGATGCTATAAATAACCCTATGCCACACTTAAGCTGAAACACAACTGTTCAGTGGGAGGGAGGTACTTGGAAAGCAGTAACAGCAGGAGACATCTAAAGGTGAAAGTACAGCAAATTAGATATGAGCTTGCAATATGAAAGGACAATTAGAGGAGGGTAAAAAAACTATAAACCCACCAACAGAGAAGCATTGCTATGGACCAGGAAAGTGAAGATCCCTCTCTCTTGCTCTAGGGTCAAACACCACTTAGTTTAGGATATATGACTTGGAGCACCAGAATAGAATATCAGTAAATGAAAAGTGCCATTCAAAATGGGCAACAAAAACTACAGAGGAGCTAGACAAATTGGCATATGAGGAAAGAGTTTAAAAAAAACTAAATACATGTAGCTTGGCTAAGGCATGACCAGGGCATGATGGTCATCTAGGCATCTGAAGTCTGAAAATACCAAGGAGGGAAAGGTATTAAGAATTGTCCAAAGGGATTTTAAGAATAACTGGATGATAATGAGCAAAGGAAAATATAGGCTGAATTTGACTAAATAAAATTCTATTTGATTCTCCAAAACAAACAAACAAACAAACAAACAAAACAAACCCAAAAACCACCTTACATGTACAGTAGTTCAGGAAAGTGAGCTAATTAAAATCAAAATGATGGTGGAAGCCTAATATTGTCGAATCCGCAATTTCCACCATATTGCAAATTAAGTATGACCTCAGTCATTTTACAATTGTAGTTTGCTATCTTTTAAATGTTTTTCCTTTCCATGGTCGCTGTGTAGAAGTCACTCAAACAACAAGGGAAACTGACCGACTATTCATGGGAAACTGTGACACTGATTATAAAAAATGCTGTCATCCATAAGGAAAACTTGAACAGTTTTTCCTCTGATCTGTCAGTTTTAGTTACTTTAGGTATTATTTGTAAAAATGGTACATTTCAGACAAAGGCAATTTAAGTTGGCAGTGTCCCTTTAATAAACCTAGTGGATGAATTCACAAAAGACTTGTGTCTTTGCTGGCATCAGTTAAGCCTGTATTTTAGAGTGTTGCTTTGAATTGCACAACTCTGAGCTATCTAGACTCATGGCATATATTCCTACCTCCACTTTAGTACTCAATACGGCTCAATGCTGCTGGGTGCTGAACACTCTGGCCCTAATCCAGCAATACACAAAAGCAAGTGAATAATCTCATTGAAGTCAACTGGAATTCATGTTCCCCTGTTTCTTAAATCATTCTCAAGTTCAGCTACTGCACCATATTACTAAACTCAGGAGCAACTGCAGGGATTATTTTCAGTGACAGTAGAGCAAACTAAAAATTGGTTTTAAAAATAGTATAGCCCTTATGAAATCCAGCAGTAGAACTCAGACATTTTAAAGAAACATAGCTACTTATTTAACCCTTCCTATTCTACCGTCTTATCTTCTTGAATTGAGGATGTGCAGATTGTGAGCCCTTCAGTGTTAATGACCATGACCTGTTTAAGATGGGGAACAATGTGAAACTGTAGAATTTAATCATTCATTTGCAGTTTAGTGCTGGTTTTCAGAGGAAATACATTGACAAACTGATTCATGAGCACATGTGAATGGAGCTCTTGTGTATTAGTCAGACATATTCCACGAAGTATTATAGTTTTTCCTGACCACAGTAATATTCCATCTGAAATACCAGCCTCCCAACTGTACACCCTCTACTACTATTAACTTACCTTCTGAAGGATTTTCCATACTTTTTGATAGAACCCTACAGGAACTCTGTTAATGGCACCATCAAGCCTTCTTCTGCGGAGCCATTGCCCTTGGCGATCACCCCAGCTGATGTCGTTTCCAGTAGACCCTCTAGGAGATGAAGTCCTAGTGGGAGATGATGGAATACTGCCCCTCTGCAAGAGACAGACCATTTAGTAACTACAACATGTTAACATGAGAGCACCCACTCTTGCATGTTACACCACTCTGTTACAGTTTCAATTCAATGCAGTTTTTAGTGAATATTGACTGATTTCTTTTGAAGACGTTGACAGGATAAGGTAAACGTTTTTCTTTCACAACAAATCTCTTCACATTTTACTTATTTGCCTCAATTTCAAAATGAACCAATGAGCAGTCAGCAAAACAAAATCAGCTTGACGTTGCAGCTTCATCTGACCCAATTAATAAAGTGAGTTTAGAAAAGTTTTCTATCATGGTTGGGGTGGGAGGAGGGGATGTCTTTACTTGACAGAGCAACCACACAGACTGAATCCTAATTCTAAGTGGCACTGCTGTTAAAGTACTTAAACTTGGGAACAAATGCCTCACTTCTGACTTGGCAGCACCGGCTATTTTCCCCTTGCTCTCCCATTCAAAAACTAAACAGGCTGGACTCTCCTTAGCTTGAGATCAAAATATATATTGGGGATTTGGCTAGAGATAAACTTTAGTGCTAAAAGTAGTAGGAAGGAATTGTAACTTTTTTGTAAATATGTTGTAAGCTCAATGGTGGTTTTAAGGTATACTATGAAAAGGGCACAGGCATGCAAAAATGGTTAAACTAAACAGAACAGATTAGTAGATTTGTTTGCTCACACTGCATAGTATATGTGTATGGAGAGGGATCCAGCCATCCATGGTCAAGGGATGATTGTTAATCTGTCCATTTGACAAATATCTGGATTGCTTCTCTGCCCCCTCTAGTGCAGTATATGGGACAACTATCCCAACTTGGACTTTTTCCAGTTTCCTGATACCCAAATACAGATTTCTTTTGCGGCTATCTGCTAGAGGTAGGCAAAGGAATGCTCTCATACCCCATTGAGGAGACCTTCCATTGGACCATCTCAGTAATCCCTGGGAGACATAAGGAGCAGAAATGGCATTTCCCCCATCAGACCTTTCCTGGAATTTTAAAAATTCGACTGGTCTTGCCAGCTGAGTGTATAACTTCCTTGAACAGGAGTTTATTTGGTTTGTGGAACTTACCAGCTCTGCCAAGCATGTCTGCAGACCTTATAAATTCTTTGCACCACAGCCTTTGGTGTGAAAGCGATTACAGGATCTGCAGTTGTGTTTTAAGACAAATGATGGGTCCGTAATTTCAGGAAGGCACTTTTGCAAGAAGCTACAGGGGTCAGAATCTACCTTGTAGAAATGATAATTGAAGATATAAGATATTACAGGGGTCGGCAACGTTTGGCACACGGCTCGCCAGGGTAAGCACCCTGGCAGGCGAGGCCAGTTTATTTACCTGCTGACGCGGCAGGTTCGGCCGATCGCAGCCCCCACTGGCCGCGGTTCACCGTCCTGGGCCAATGGGGGCGGCGGGAAGCCGTGGGCCAGCACATCCCTTGCCCGCGCCACTTCCCGCCGCCCCCATTGGCCCGGGACAGCGAACCGCGGCCAGTGGGGGCCGCGATCGGCCGAACCTGCTGCGTCAGCAGGTAAATAAACTGGCCCGGCCCGCCAGGGTGCTTACCCTGGCAAGCCGCATGCCAAACGTTGCCGACCCCTGAGATATTATATCTCTCCACATGTCAGACTTGTATCCTGAATGCTGTCATTATTGCTCTTGATTTCACTGTTATTTACTCTTTCAGGCTTGATCATGAGCAAACTGGGCAAACAGATTACTGCTCTTTGTTATCTGTAAAGTTGGGGTACCATCATTAAATTCTTATTTCCAGGGTCAGTGGAAATCACATGTGTTCTGCATTAGAAGCCCTCATTCCTTCTTGCATAAGAATGGCTCTGGCATTCTTCAGCAGCCAGTCCACAGCCTGGGGAAGCAAAAGCCACCCATTTAAAGGAATGCACTGCAAAGGGCATCATAGGTTGAGAGAGACAAGGGCCCATATTTTGATACATGGGACTACTCAATAAATCACACATACACTATCAGTAGATGAAAGCCAGTGCTGTCATACGGGTATGGCATTTAGGCCAAGTAAACCACCACCTTTGCTCTCTATCTGATTATTTTCCCATAGCATTTTCCTTCTTTTAGCCTCTCTATGGCCAGCACGGGTAGCTTGCTTTCCTGGCATTAGGTGGTCAAAGCTCAGAGTGGTCCTGGTAACAGTGCCATCATATTGCGATACACATGGGAACTGTTTACACTTGTGCCCAATTCTGTACAGCTTGGAATCAGATTATTTTAGTACTTGTGGCAGCCCTTCACACCAGTACATTTGTGTACTATTCTGCCGAACACCACAGCGGGGGAAACACACAAAACACCACAGCAGTAAACATGCTAACACCACAAAGCAGCGTGTACTAGTGAATTGGAAATCAAATAGTGAAGACACGTAGGTAGGTAATATTGAGGGGCTATTGTTTCCATGCACTGTGTGTTGTAACGAGCCATGTTGCTGTTTGTACTTGTTCCCCAAAGTTCGTACACAGAGCTGCCCCCTAGCTGGAAGCACCACCCCCTTTTTGTTAGTCCGTGTGGCTGTTACTTCCACCTCCTCTGCTCAACTGTCACATTCTAACTGCCATAGAACCTTTGGATGCCAACATTCCATCTTGTTCTCATGGAACCCAGTGGGGATTGAACCTAGTGACATTCTAAACAACAGCTCTCAATCCTGCTTGTAGTTTCTTCCATCGCTTCACACTGACTCAGCCTTGCAATCCTGGAATCTTCTTATAATACAGGAATCATTCAATCCTCCTAAACTATAGGACTCCTGGGCAATGTTCCCATCTTCCTCGGATTTTTACAGAGGAGCAAGCGTCTCTCCCCTTGCTTACAAATATCCTTTGTGGTACTCAATCTGGGGGTTGGGGCCCTAGAGGGTATCCCCTTGTCTTAAAGGGGGAATCAAAGTAACAATAGCAGTCCCTCCCATTTTTTTGGGAAGGAAGAAGCAACTTTTCATAGCTGGGCTCCTGCTGCTAGACCAAGAGAGCTGATTTATACTGTATCTGTTGGTGCTTACACAAACATTTTCAAGTCAACCAACTGGACAAATGAGCCTGTTAGAGCAAAAGACAATTATGTAAAATCTAAGTTTAATGACTTGAAAGACATCTTTATATTTCAGAGGACTTTCCTTTTGGAAATACTTAAGAGGCAGGGTCTGATCCATGACCAGAACAGCGTGCATAGATTAAAATGGGATTTCTTGCCTAGTGTGGACAACTTCCACAGTTCATCTGTTTAAACACTCTCAGGGCTAAATTGGTGCCTTTTAGCAAACAGTGGTGATTGGGAGTGGTGCAGAGACTATTGCAAGAGTTTCTGAATGTATTGTGCCCAAAAAAGAGCATAGAGTGACTATGCTATGTGATGCACATGCATATAACCAGCTTTGTTGTCATGTGCAAAGAGGAAAGAGTCTTGCACTAGCTGTGGCTCTAGACTTGCATAAACCTTCCAGTGAACTGGATTGTGCCCAGTTCTGTATTAAGGTAGGAAAGGCTCCTTGCCCACTCTTGCACACCCATGCAGGGCCAGGCATAACTGCGCCTGGAGTACTGCCTAGAGAGGAGCTCACTGACAGCCTGATCCCACCAGTCCTTTCTCAAAGGAAACTGCTACTGAAGATTGTGGAAGTTTAGCCAGGGTAAGGTCTGCAGGATCAGAATGCTAGAAAACTACAGACGTGAATTCTAAAACATGATATACCTACTCAATGGCTTTTCCTTCTAATGCAAAAAAAACCAAACCAGCTTACCTTTGCTGGTTTGATGCAGTATGTTCATTTTCTTTGTACAGCATCCTGACTGATGCACAGTCAAGCTTTCTTTCTCCAGTTCAGCAGAGATGACATTTAAGTAATGAAGGAGTTCAGCAGGAGTGCCAGTGCTGAAGTAATTACTGTGTGCATAGACACTTCTTTCATTTGTCCCTGTTTTGGCTAAGCAGTTTATCCAGATCTCATTTAATAACTCACTACATTTGAATCAAGTGCACTGAGAATATGGGCCAAATTCTGTCCCTCTTTGCATTGGTGCAGAAGGACTGAAAAGTAACACACCTACTGTGCAGGAACCAGGCAGGCCAGGGAGAAACCACAAAGAGGTACACGGCTTGTGTAAGAAAAGTGTTTTGAGATGGTACATTGTACAATATCCATGGGGTTTGGGAGGCGTAACATGCACTGTGGGTCTGTGTACACATGGATCCGCTGGCCAAAACCACAAGGGGTGGGTGAGTGTGGGAGTAATAGAGTTTACTGTCCCTTTAAGACACTGAAGGGACGCTTCCAGGTCCAGCATTGCCCAGTTTCAGGTTTCTGCTGTCCACTGCGGCATGATGAGAATTTGAGGGCCTGAAGCAGAGAGGGCATCTGGGAACTACAGGTTACTAGAGCAAGGCATGGTGGGAAGGGGACAAGAGCTCCCTTCTCTCAAGAGTGAGATCCTAGTTGGAGCAGAAGTTGCTGAAGATCTCTCCATTAAAGGCCTTGAAGAAAGATAGCTGGCTGGAGAAGAAATTCACACTAGTAAAAGCCCTGGGTTTAAATTCATCTTCCTGTACTGGACCAGGATTTGGACCAGTAATCTTTGTCAATATTCAGAATGGGTGATATTTATCCCTGTCCACAGTGGCCAGCCCAAATCCTATGTACCATTTAACCTCCCAGGTCGTAAATGGTGCCTACATCTGGTGCAAACCCACTGAAAAGGGATGTATTGCACCCAGCGTGTACAGCACTTGGTTCAAAGTGCAGCAAGTTATTAAGGCTAGTTGGTCATATTTGACAATTATTTGGAAATGAAGAAACATTCTATTTTTTGAGTATTAAAACAAACTAAAGCTCTTGCAAAGTTATCCTTGAGGATATGAATTAGGAGCCCATAAAAGTGAAACCTTTCAGCTACTAATATTGAAGATTTTAACTGTACTCGACCAGGGATGCTGGAAAAAATTGTATAGTGGAGATGCTGAGAGATGTTGATCCAAACTGTAAACCCTGTACAACATGATGGAAACCACTTCAAGCCAGGAGGTGTGGCAGCACCCCCAGCACCCCTAGTTCCAGCACCTATGTACTCACCTTCACAGTGAAGCCAATTGGTCTTTGGGTGCAGTACAGGTAGGCCCTATGTTAATTGTTATCCTACCATCTAAGGTAGCTAACATTGGACATTTGTCATTTTACTTGTATGGCTATTTGTCTATGCAGACTGGGAGAGTTTGGGAGTGAAGGAGCAGCTGACACAATGAATTAATATGCTTTAGCCTTCAGATGAAAAGGCAGGCCTAATTTCAAACTCTTATTTAGATCAAGAAGAAAAAGTGAATTTGAAGGGAATTTCATCCAAAGTCCCTAGTAGACAAAATTACTCCTCAGTTTTATCCCAACAGGGGTGGAATAGAAGGGTAAGATATTACAATATGTGGAAACTGGCCCACACTTTGCTCTAACCAGTACTATTATCTCTTTCCTCCTATGAATTCAAAATTTATATAACTAAAAACCCCCTGAGAATAAATTGGGTTAAACTTATATTTCCACATTACCATTAAATGTTCAGGGCTGCACAGGATTTAGCCACGCAGCTCCTAGTCAAGTAGCTAAATCCATCATAACACTGAAAATTTAGAAGAATGTGGAAAATAAGATTTCTGTTATAAAAGACCAAAAATAAGAACTGGCTCTCCATGAAGGTGAATGAAACAAAAAGCTAGGGTTTAAAAAAAAACACATACATTACACATAAGAAAAGCTGCAAGTTATGTTTAGACTCCCTGCAGAGGGAGAAAAGAAACAGACTGCAAATTTCTGAATGGTATTTTACCGTGAACCTGGAAGCATGCATGCTGCTGGACATGGAATGGCCCCCATAAAAGAACTACAAAACAGAAATAAAAAAAAGTCAGTCAGTCATGACAAGACAAACAAGATGAAGTGACACATGCATGAAAAGGAACAAATGTGCAATAAAAATTAAACTCATTTACTTAAGATAGAACCATTCTTTGGGTCAAAATGGGCTCTCACACTGGTACAATTTCATTGAAATCAGGGAAGTTACTCCTGATTTACATTAAAGTGAAATCACAATTAGACCCTTTATGTTTAAGGATCTTCAGAGTTTTACATTAATCTCTTACTATGCTATCACAAGCTTTCCACAGAATCTACCTCAGATAGCACGAAGACATAAAAACCCAAATGAGATTAAAAAAGAATGCAGCTGCATCCACACGCTGCATGGTCGATATTGCAAGCTTACATTTTCTCTTCAGCATCCCTTACCTTATATTAGTGCTAGAAAGAAAGTTATACCATGCTATCAAATCATGCAGGTTGCTAGCCAGGCCGGTAATGCTTAGCAAAACTACTGAGGCAGTTTTCCAAGAGAAATGATTAGATGCTGGTTAGCACCTAAGGGTATTCTTAATAGCTTTCTTTTTGATTAAACAATAATGATTCAGATAAGCTGTAAAAGTACTGGGACTGATTTTCAGAAGTATGGAACACCCAAAGAAATCAATAATTGGAGCTGGAGGTGCTAAGCACATTTGAAAATCAGCTCCAATATAGAAACAGTCTAAGGTCAAAACAATCAAAATGTTCACCGTCAAACTGATGTCTTTAAGAGTCGGGTTTTTCCCCCCGATACAAAAGGTTGAATATTCCTGATGGCTCAACAAAACCTACTGGGAATCAACATGAATGGAAAAAGGTCAACTCTCCTCAGCAGGAAAGAAGCCACTCAACTCCTTTTCTGTGCAGAAATGGCACCTCTCCTTCTAAAGTGACAAATCTCAGGAAACATTTTCCCACCTTTAAATTTCTACAGAAAGTTGCAACTGTGCTACATCTCTATGTAGAACAATATAATGCTGCCATCTAATGGCCAGTCAGGTATTCTAAAAGGCAGGACATTATAATGTGTTCTCTACTTGAAAGGAAATTAACTCAGATATTCACAACTTGCCATGTGACTGATATCCACACTCTAAATTTGATATAAATTGCTAGACCTCTGGAGAGACTGGAACATAGGTCATTCTGCTCACAACAACAAACTAGCAGCAGTAGCATAGGCAAAACTGCACCATATTAATTAGATCATTGAATGTTAAAGTGTTTTGTATTCACAGCGTACAAAAAGCCTCTTAGTTCCCTTAGTTCTAGGACAAGTGTACATAATTCAGTAGTGAGGGAGGAAAACATGCATTCTTATGAACATATAGATATATTTCACCTTTTCATCAGCAGATGACCTCCTATTCATCTGGAATCAAAAATTAGTTATGCAATTAATTTAAACAAATGTACAAAAATAACCTAAAACAGTTTAAAAACAATCTGGTTTGTGTTCTCTATTGTATCTTCCCATATGCTCACTTGCTGCATGAGAAAATGTATTAGAAAAAGAGTCCCAGTGGTCTCACTGGATAGTGACTCTTGTCCCTCCTACGCAGAAACACATGAAAAATGGATCTAAGATTTCTTTTCTGAGGCCTGGTCTACACTAGGACTTTAATTCGGATTTAGCTGCGTTAATCCCAATTAACCCTTCACCCGTCCACACTACAGAGCCAGTTAATTCGAATTAAAGGGCACTTAAAATCGATTTCTGTACTCCACCTCGACGAGCGGAGTAGCGCCTAAATCGATTTTGTTAATTCGAATTAGGGTTAGTGTGGCCGCACACCACAGAATTACTGTGTTTAAGTTAATGGGGTAGTGTGGCCGCACACCACCGAATTAATGTGGTTAAAAACCGAATTAAGGTGCTTAGTGTGGCCGCGCACAATCGAATTTATACAACCTGTTTCCCAAATTCAAATTATCTAAATTCGGATTAATCCTGTAGTGTAGACATACCCTAAGTGTATCTTTACATCTGCATGGAGGGACTCGGGGGGTGGGGTGGGGGGGGGGAGGCGAGGGAGGAGAGTAAAGATCCCTGCTTGCAGATCTCAGTGCAGGATGAGGCTATACTCAGAAATTAAATCAGGACTTATTTATTTAGGCCAAATCATTAGACAAATTTGTTTTGGTTTAAGAATTACATTTACATGCCAAAGTAAATAAGAATTGAATGTGCTGTTCCCAGAAAAGATGTTTGCATCTAGTAATCTGCATAGAAAAACTCCTCCAGCTGTCTTGGTATCTTATTTATACAGTACATATGTTACTGCATTAATGGGGAGGTAGCTCACCAATCCCTCTGCCTACTGAGATAAGAAAACGCCTCTTTGTTTGCCTTCCAACCTACCATTTGCTAAAGTAAACAGAGTTCTTTACCTGCGACATTCTTTACCTGAGACATTAAAGATTTGTATGCCAGAAAAAACAGAGGTGTAAAATACAAGCATGAATACTGTTTGAGCCAAATCTTTACTTTGATGCGAATGGAATCTTTACCTAAGAAAGAATGATGGGAACTTGGTCTGTCAGGTGCCCTTAATGCTTCAAACCAGGAGCTGGTTGAAATGTGCTAATTTAAGAATTTTAAATTAAAACCAAAAAGGAAAATGGTTTTGAAAATTGATTTCCTTACCTCCCGCCCCCCCCTTTTTTTTCAAACAGCCACTACTACTTCAAATAATAAAACAGATAGGAAAAGTTTGCAATTTACCATGAATGTAATAGGGGCTAGATAAAACAAAACAAAAAAAGTTTTGTCTCCTGAGTTTAAAAAATGACTTTCATAAATCCTGTGCTGCTTAAAGAATGCACAGAAAAGGAGATCCTCCCACCTGTTGCATTTCACTCTTCAGTCTAGTAATGCCACTTCTTTCTGTTTTAGTTGCTCCAGTGTGCCCCACTTCATGAATAGAAATTGCAGGGCTGGAGGTAGAGGAATCTAGAGGCCGCACTAAAGAAAGAAACAAGGAAGTTTTCTAGATTAAACGTAGCTATGTTTAAGTAATAATAAGAATACAACTTAAAACTGTATGTAAAAATTAAAGGAAAAACACCTTGTATCTCAGGACTATGCACTTTCCATGATATCTCTTTACTTCCAATAAGATTAAAAGCATAAGTCAAACTTTCAAATCAGAATGGCCTAAAGTTAGGTTTCTAAATCCATATTTAGACATTTAAATATTTTTGGCCCAATTTTCAAAGCTAGTGGGAATCTGCAGCTCCCAATGTCTTCAGTGGGGTTTTTTGAGTGCTCAACCCTTCCAAATATTTTGGCCTAAATATGGATTTAGGAGCCAGGAATTCCTGGGAACTATCGATATGTCCATTGAAGTTTAGACAGGCCAGATGTTTTTGTTCTCAATATCCTTCAACCCTGGTCACATTAGATATTCTCATTTTAAAAGTCTGTCTGCGTATCACTGAGAACTTGACATGGCCTAACTTTAGTGCACAATGTTTTCTGTATTCATGAATATTTTAAAACAATTTGATGTGCAGTTACTTAACATGATTTGCAGAGCTGTGAAAGGATGAACCTTCAAAAATGGTCGTTAGGTAGGACGGAGACAGAGCTCTGCTTTGTCAATGTCCATTACATGCCCAGAACAAATGATGGAAACACTATAGCATCTAGCATCTATAAATATTTGCCATTCACAAGCATTTTCACCAGCTCCCAGTTTCAGACCCACATCTATGTTTTAAGTTTAATAATGAGCCTTAATTATCATCTAACTGTGTGCACATAAGTGAAATCAACCAACACTAAACATTGTATCAGGCCTTATGTAGGAGCTTCTGATTTTTGTGCACCTACACAGAGACCAGACACAACCCTAGTCCTTGTGCTCAGAGTGATCCTGGCTAGTCCTGACAGCAACCCTAGCCTACCCTAAACAGGTGGAGGGGAGAGGGCCATTCCCCTCCTCATCTTTTAACATCCTGCACAGCTGGGTCTATACTGAGTGGGGAGCACATACTGTGCCCTGTAAAAGGGTGTAAGGCAGGAGTTGCTCTGGCTCACACTTCCAGATGTTCATTCATTTACACCAGCTGGGAATCTGGCCTTCCATGCCTAAATCTAATACAATGTCTCCCAAAGCTCCCACTGAGACACCATGCATCTGTCCCCCGCACAACAACGTGGCAGGGGCTGTATGACCACACCAAAGCCCAATCCTAGAACAGTTTACAGTTTAAGGATTATTCTGCATTCAAAAATGAAGAGATGACAGAACAATGAAACTATCTCTGCTATGATAAAGTATGTCACCTGGCTGATACACATGTTGAGGGGCAAGATAGGTTATAAACAGACCACTCTTTGTTCATATAAAAATGCTTGATGCAATCTCACTACAATTCTTACTCTATCCCTCCGGTCTGGAAAGATCACATATTTCCACAGATGTGTCCAAAAATGATTACATGGTTTTACAATATTGCTATATTAAAAATTCTATAGTTCAAAATAATACTTGGGGTACTGAAAATAACAGGCATGTTTGTTTTTGGATATTAAACCCTTGTGTTTCATACATAATCGGGATCTCTGCAGCAAACATTTCTAAAGAGGAGACTGCTGCTTATAAAACTTAAAATAAACTCTGCATCTAAATAGCTCTTGCTCAATATATACATACACAAGTTAGAATACATTCAAGCAACCAAATAGACAACTTACTGCTTCTTTCAACGCCAAACTCTTTCCCACTCAAAATATGGTGCAGGAGATTTTTCATATCAAAGGGGCTTAGATTCATTAAACTTTCTGAGGCTTCTTCACCTAGTGAAAAAATACTATACTAGGTCATTCATACTGTAGTTTTTCTAGGAAAACAGGGTTAATTCCTAGTTATGGTCTGTTATTAATACTTGCTTATTTTTTTTTAAAAAAAAGCAAAAAGTAGTTGACAAACCCTAAAGAGGTAATCTTCATAAAAGGAACCCTAATTATTATTTGTACTAGGGTTTGGGCAAAACCTCATAGAAGTTAGTGGGTATAACAGCTATCCTTCATCAGGATAGATGTAAGAAAAAGTTAAGGCTCCTTTATGAAAGAAAATAGCTGAAACAATAGGAGCCACCACCCAAAACACAGGCCACATTCAAGGCTGCTGGTCAGGAATCTGAACTATGTGGACAGAGGAATTTTCCTGAGGATTGATTGCAAATGCATAGGACTGGATATTTTTATTGTTGATGGAGCTGTCCGTGTAAGAGACAGAAGCAGGAGAAACACCACAGAAGCAGCCAGAGAAGGCCAGAGAAGCATTCGTAGCATGACCCCAAGAAAAAGTTAAGTGAGAGAAAGCTTTTGGGCAGAGTGCTGGCTGGAAAGAGGCTTGGAACATTGAGCAAAGAAACTATCTCCTGCTTTTCCATTCTTACTGTGTTCTGGGAAACAGGACTTTGTATATTTTTTGTAAACAAACAGGATTGTATAAAAAAAAAATCCTAACTCCATCATCAGTTTCTCTTCCTAATAGAAATAACCCACAAGTTCCCAAATACAGGCTAAGTATAATACTGGGTCACAAGACGTAATTTTTTTTTTAAATCAGTGTGCTCCAGTTTGCCAGGGAGGGTAGCAAGGTCTCTGACTTCATGCCCAGGAGATAGAAAAACTGGGAAGCCTACCAGCTGCTGCTGACTGGAAGCTTCCCACACAGGATTCACTTAGTGGGCCACAGACACTGAGACCACCTAGGACACAGAAATCTGGGCGGACCCTATGTCCACTCAGTATCAGCATCAAGATTTGACTATGATTTGGTACCAATTAACTCTTATCACTTCTGATAATTGCTCCTACTGCTACACAGGACTATAACACCTTTAAATTTTACTGTTGGGCAACTCTTTCAATTGTTCATGGATTTCCCTTTAGCTTCACTGCTTCCTCCTGTGATGAACTTCGAAGCTGTATTAGCTATGCAGTGTACAGCTCATGTATTTAATTCCCATTTGCAGTAGGATATGAGTAACAGGTGAGAATAGGTCTTATATATCCCCTTTGGGAGGTCAGGGAAATAAAATTAAAGAGAAAATATGTCAATATTCAGAAATTTAGATACTAACTCTACCACAGCCAAGCATATGTAGGACTGCAGCATGTGTGTGTGGGGAGGGGGGTGGGAGAGAAATCTAGGGGAAGGCTGAATGCCTCTAACTTTGTAATTGATATAAAGTCACTTCAAGTAGAAATTCCAAAAGCATCTAAAGCTATGTCTATACATACAGCGCTGCAATGGCGCAGCTGCACCGGCACAGCTGCACCACTGCCTGTGTGGTGAAGACACTCTATGCCAATGGGAGAGAGTTTTCCCGTCACCATAAAAAACCCACCTCCATGAGCGACGACATAGCACTGTCCACACAAGCGCTTATGTTGGTGTAACTTAATTCACACCGCTGAATGACACAAATTTTGCTGATATAGCCTATGTCTACACTACAGCCTAAATTTCATTGAAAGTCAGGGTGTGTCTACATTACAAGTGCTACAGCTACATCACTGTAGTGCTTTTGGGTAGACACTTATTACACCTACAGAAAGTAATAAATCCACCCCCTTAAGATGTGGTAGCCAGGTCAATGGAAGAATTCTTCTGTTGACCTAGTGGTGTCTACGGTGGGGTTAGATTGGCCTAACTAATTAGCACAGGGCATTAAATTTTTTACAGCCCTGAGCAATTTAGATTGGTCAACCTAAGTTTTAGTTTTCAGAGTAGCAGCCGTGTTAGTCTGTATCCGCAAAAAGAACAGGAGTACTTGTGGCACCTTAGAGACTAACAAATTTATTTGAGCATAAGCTTTCGTGGGCTACAGCCCACTTCATTGGATGCATAGAATGGAACACACAGAAAGAAGATATTTATACATACAGAGAACATGGTATGGCTACTTCCACCTTTTCAACTGTAAGAGGCCAATCAATTGAGATGAGCTATCATCAGCAGGAGAGAGAAAACAACAACCTTTGAAGTGATAATCGAGATGACCCATAGAAGGTGTGAGGATATTTTAACATGGGGAAATAGATTCAATTAGTGTAATGACCCAACCATTCCCAGTCTCTGTTCAAACCTAAGTTAATTGTATCTAATTTGCATATTAATTCAAGTTCAGCAGTCTCTCTTTGGAGTCTGTTTTTGAAGTTTTTTGTTGCAAAATTGCCACCTTCAAGTCTGTGTCTGAGTGGTTAGAGAGGTTGAAGTGTTCTCCCACTGGTTTTTGAATGTTATGATTCCTGATGTCAGATTTGTGTCCATTTATTCTTTTGCGTAGAGACTGTCTGGTTTGGCCAATGTATATGGCAGAGGGGCATTGCTGGCACATGATGGCATATATCACGTTGGTAGATGTGCAGGTGAACGAGTCCTTGATGGCGTGGCTGATGTGATTAGGTCCTATGATGGTGTCACTTGAATAGATATGTGGACAGAGTTGGCATCGGGCTTTGTTGCAAGGATAGGTTCCTGGGTTAGTGTTTATGTTGTATGGTGTGCGGTTGCTGGTGAGTATTTGCTTCAGATTGGGGGGCTGTCTGTAAGCGAGGACTGGTCTGTCTCCCAAGATCTGTGAGAGTGAGGGATCATCTTTCAGGATAGGTTGTAGATCTTTGATGATGCGCTGGAGAGGTTTTAGTTGGGGGCTGAAGGTGACGGCTAGTGGCGTTCTGTTATTTTCTTTGTTGGGCCTGTCCTGTAGTAGGTGACTTCTGGGTACTCTTCTGGCTCTGTCAATCTGTTTTTTCACTTCAGCAGGTGGGTATTGTATTTTAAGAATGCTTGATAGCGATCTTGTAGGTGTTTGTCTCTGTCTGAGGGATTGGAGCAAATGTGGTTGTATCTTAGAGCTTGGCTGTAGACAATGGATCATGTGGTGTGTCCTGGATGGAAGCTGGAGGCATGCAGGTAAGTATAGCAGTCAGTAGGTTTCCGGTATAGGGTGGTGTTTATGTGACCATCACTTATTAGCACTTATTAGTGACACCATCATAGGACCTAATCACATCAGCCACGCCATCAGGGGTTCGTTCACCTGCACATCTACCAACATGATATATGCCATCATGTGCCAGCAATGCCCCTCTGCCATATACATTGGCCAAACCGGACAATCTCTACGCAAAAGAATAAATGGACACAAATCTGATATCAGGAATCATAACATTCAAAAACCAGTGGGAGAACACTTCAACCTCTCTAACCACCCAGTGACAGACTTGAAGGTGGCAATTTTGCAACAAAAAAACTTCAAAAACAGACTCCAAAGAGAGACTGCTGAACTTGAATTAATATGCAAATTAGATACAATTAACTTAGGTTTGAACAGAGACTGGGAATGGTTGGGTCATTACACTAATTGAATCTATTTCCCCATGTTAAAATATCCTCACACCTTCTATGGGTCATCTCGATTATCATTTCAAAGGTTGTTTTTTTCTCTCTCCTGCTAATGATAGCTCATCTCAATTGATTGGCCTCTTACAGTTGGTATGGATACTCCCACCTTTTCATGTTCTCTGTATGTATAAATATCTTCTTTCTGTGTGTTCCATTCTATGCATCCGATGAAGTGGGCTGTAGCCCACGAAAGCTTATGCTCAAGTAAATTTGTTAGTCTCTAAGGTGCCACAAGTTCTCCTGTTCTTTTTAAGTTTTAGTTGTAGACCAGGCCTCAGTGCGACTTAGTCAGGGCAGCCTAAGGGCTTGACTACACAGCCCAGCAGTTCGGACTTCGGGGTGTGTGAACTGCAGCGCACACTAGTGTACTGTGCTGTAACTCCCCCGCCCCCCATGTGGACACTGCAGGCATGAACTAAAACATATCTAGTTCATGTTAACATAGCCCTCATTAAACAGGATTAAGTTAACACACACTAGGAACCTTTTAGTTTGTGCCTGCACCATCCACATGGGGGAGTTACAGCATAGCACACTAGTGTGCGCTGCAATTCACACCCCCATAGTCTGTACTGCGGGACAATATACACGTCTAAATAGCTAGGACACTTTTTAAAAGGAGTGTGGGTATTTCTTTATGTCAAAAGGATGCTAGGAATGCAGATTATTTTCAAAGTTTGTAACTGTGTGTGTTGGATAAAGGATTTAATTAAAAAACAGATTGTGTTTAAGCTGAGCTGTCCTGGGAAAATAAAAGCTAAAAACCACACACACAAAATTGGGAGTCTGCTTAAAAATAGAATTATTGTATTAGGATTTTTAAAGCGCCCCCCCCCCCAGAATGTCTCTTTACGGTGTTTATTGAAGGGAGAATTTTGATAGAGATATTTTAAGAAAAGGGCCATGTTAAAAATAAGCAAATTCTTTATCTTGTCCTATGTAACTGAAATGTTGATCATTGGGGGCGGGGAGAGGAGAGAGATTTGTTTACTACAGTATTACAGTACAATTGGACTTACCTGAACAGTTCAAACTGCGAAGCAGCTCAGTAGCCATCACCTGAATTATTAGTCCAATGCGGAGTCTGAGCATCTCTGCAAAAAGGCTGGGCTGTGACCTGACGTACATAGCCAAATACACCACTATCTCCTGGCATGAGCAAATGAACAAAGGATATCTATTCAGGGGCATTCATCATAACTCTGGCCAGCACCAGACAACACAAGAAACAGAAGGTACAGCATGAAAAAACCCCATTCCTTCCACGTGTTTTATACCTGGGTAAGGACTGCAATACTGATGTCTTGCCCACTGGCTTCATAAATAAGCTTTGACAACTCTTCAGGTGGCAGAGGGCTAAGGAAAGTGAACCAGACAGTTAGGAGTGCTTATGATGCTTATTATTTTCTACATGTGTCAATTGTTTGGATTTAGAGGTTTTAATTTGAAGTGTCTAACTTAAAATGCACCAAAACAACTTTGCTTTATAGATCTTACAGACCCGTGATTCCTTCTGAAAATAACAGTTAATAATTTGGAAACTGTAACAAGGGCCTCCTGTTTGCCCTCGCTCTATGGGACCCCTGCGCCCACAAATCAGCCAGAGACCTCTTCTGGGTGCAATCACCAGTGCCTTTTATTTACAGTGTCAGCTCCCACCGCCTTTTATTCACAGACCACTCCAAACTAGCAACCTGGGGGACAGCTCGCTTCTCCAGCACGCAGGGACGCACAGCCCTTGGCTCCTCCCTTTCCTTTCTTCCCCCTTCGCTTCCTTCCTGCCAGCCCCATAGAGCCCCGCTGGCTAATAAAGCCCAGAGGTGCTTCCCTTCTATCAATTAGGCATGGCATACTCAGTCAGCTCCAATTAATGCTTCTTAATTGGATCTGGGCTAACAGGGGGCTGGCTCAGGCTCTCCTGGCCAGCATCCTGTTACAGAAACACTGTATCAGCAGTAGGAACTCTGAAATACAAGACATCCAGACTGAGACAGAGCTAAGACTTACGCGGTAATAGTTTTTTCACGCGGCTCAGGTGGCAGGCCCACTGTAAGTTGCTTGTGGTGTGACAGAAGGTCTGTGCATGCCTATTACAGTACAATAGAGAAAGCAAGAGAGCCCACGCTGTTAAGTTATATGGCAACAATGATAATTTTTTTTTAATTCTAGAAAAAAAAAGCATTTCTTCAGTAATTCCTCAGTGTATTTGCATCTGCTACTAAATGTACAGTTCAGAGGCAGATCCTCAGCTATTGTAGATTAAATGTACATTAATGTAGATTGTCATAGGTCCACTGAAGCCAATGGAGATATGACAATTTCACCTTCAGTGGTGCTAGCTCTGGCCTATGGAGTATTCTAACCCTTCCTATATTATTATGACTTGGTTATTTACAAGATAAAATAGATAAAGTTACAAGAAAACTTCATTGGTGTGTGTGGGTGTGAGAGAGAGAATGTATGTAGTATTACAGCCAGAAAGACTCTGAACAATTGTATCCCTTCAAAAAAAAGATTCTCTGTATGTAATATACTGTCCTATAGTCAGTTTAGACACTTGAATTCATTTCCAAATAGGCACTGCCCTCCCCCACCCCAGTCCTGCTGTATGTTACCTTCTTTATGTTGGTCTTAGTGCAAAGATAGGACTGGTGTTTAGTTTAACAGCTATAAGCCCCTGAATCAAAGCCCATTGAGAGCAGAGCAATGTTTCCCAACCCCCCTGAGAACTAATCATACCCTCATCCTCCCCTGCACTCCATTGTCAGAGTCCTAACATCCTAATTTATAAATTTTTCAATGCCCCATGCCCAGCTAGCCCTTCGTGGCCCCTCTAGGAAGACAGGAAAAGAACATGCTTCACACTTAGGGAAATGGTGCAGTGCAGTTACAACAAATTGCTCACTGTAGCCTGTGTGTGTGTGATGGTCAAAGCGCTGCAATAGCGTTGCACAGGATGAAAAGCAAGCCGAAAAATGGCTAGGAATGATAGCAATATGCAAATCTCAGGAACTTACTGTAACTAAGTATAAGCACGGCAATTGGAGACTTATTTATGACAGCCGAAAGGAAATAATTTTTAATGATCAGGATGAAATCAATGGCCAGGTTTACATTACAAACTTATATCAGTATAACTATGTCGCTCAGGGGTGTGAAAAATCTACACCCTGAGCAACGCAGTTATACCGACCTAACCCCCGGTGTAGACATAGCTACTGCCTCTCACGGAGGTGGATTAACTATGCCGGCAGGAAGATGCTCTCCCATCAGCGTAGTAGCTTCTTTACTAAAGCGCTACAGCAGTGCTGTACATGCAGACAAGCCCAAGGTGTAGACAACGGACTTCTGCCATTTTCCTTAAATAGTTCCAGATGTTTTGTCATTCCTGTATATTTTAATATACTTAGACTTTAGACTGTAAGCTCTTTGGGAAAGGGATCATCCTTTTGTACTGGCCTATGATTTCCCTGCCATTACAGGGGTCTTGGGCACTGGTGCACCTTGCTCTTTCCTATTCTCTGCCTTTGGCACATAGTCTAGTCTCCTGTGGGCTGTAATACTTTGGTCTAATTTTGATTGTTGGGTTTAGTGCATGGGTGCTGATGGCCTATGATGTACAGGAGGTCAGACTAGATGGTCCCTTCTGGCCTTAAACTCTATGACTAGGGCTCCAAGGCACTACGGTAACACAAATAAATAATTATTATATTCAAGACACCTTTTTATTTTTTTAAAAAATCTTCATCTAACCTTCTCCAGTACTGCAGAACCTTTCTAGTCTCACTTCACTAATCTACAACCCTCATGTCTCCAAATAACCAGGCAACCTCACTCAGATTTTACCTTTCTCAGAGAAGTTCAAAGGCAGAGTTTTATTGTAAGGTTTCATGTTACTAAGCCTTCATTGCTGCTCTAAAATATACTACAGCATTCTCTTTGCTTTAACACACTTGATGGAAGGTAAAACCAGAATGGGGTAAACATAGGCCACATTGTAATTTGTGTTTTGAGTGTTAATAGACAAAACTATTTGAGAATATCTGTTTCTGGGGCACACAGGAGGGAAACTGAAGAAATTGGCAACATTTGTGTTTGTTGTACCTCAGCCAGAACTTCCACTCTCTTTTTGAGTATGCCAGAGATGTAACGAATTAACCCCCACTCTTGGTTCTGGCCTGCCTTGCTGTAGAGCTCATTGAGCAGACAATGAATGGTGACTCCATACTGGCCATTCAGCTCTGTATCCCAGTCTGGGCCTCTGCCGGAAGAAAAAGCAGAAATGACAACTTTGGTGCCCAGGAGCAAAGAACGCAGATTTCTAAAGACAATCCATGCAGAGACATGACAGATGGTGAAAGCAGGAAACTGAACCTCCGTATGATCCTGCAAGGTGCCAAGCAATCTGGCCCTAATCCAACAGATCACTTGGGAAGGAATTTACAAGCACAGAGGGCAATTAGGCATCTATTAGAAGTCAACAGGATTTGGGCACATAAATCTCTTTGGAAACCCCACACTTACATTCTTGCTTAAAGTTAAGCATGTGAGTAGTCTCGCTGAAGTCAACAGAGCGGCTCTCATGCTTGAAGTTAAGGATTTATTTAGATACTTTGTTGGATCAGGAACAAGGTGCTCAGCACCTTGCAGGACAAAGCCAAATAACAATGGCTTTCACCAACAGTGTTGAAGATTGAATTAGTTTCTTCAATGTGTCAAGGGTTTCTCATAGATTTTTTTCATGTTGCCTTTTCTCAAGTTGTTAATCAAACTTTCACACTATACCCTATTAGATTTGACATCTTCTGGGCATCAAAAGAAGGTGGTAATGCTGCTGCTGTTCATCATGGTGAAGATGTTGAAAGAGGTAGTGAGTTTATTTTTGCAACTGTGTTTGGGGTTTGAGAATTCTGCACTCTAGCAGTAGGTCATAGGAATCCAAACACTCTGTAGAAAACTGCTGGAGATTATACAAATTAAATAGTGACATTCTTCTTGGGAAACTACATCTTTCATATTTCTAAACTTCTGGAAGGGGCATGAAGAAGAAGTTCAGATGAACAAAAAGTTTATCTCCTGTGTTCTTAACTCCCTCCAAGAGTATCATGATGGTGAAGAACTTGGCTCCCTGTTGATTATGCTTCATAATATTACCACAGTGCCCCCCCAGCTAATTTTGGTGGGAAGCAGTGCATCAAAGGGGGCTTGCCTTTGGAAAGATGATGTTGCTGTGACATTGGCCCAACACCGTGGAAATGTGGTGGGTTGATATAAAGGGCAAGGGAGAAAAATGAGGCTGCTAGACATATGCTCAGAAAGATCCCAGGGCCAACAAAGGCCCTGCTGTGAGAAGCAAAACACAGAAGTATACAAAAGATCATGTGTGCTATTAAGAAAACCAAGCATTGGGTGAAGTGTCCCCCACCCTTAAGCTAACTCTCTGCCAATATCCTGTAGTGTTTCTTCAACATAAAAAAAAAACCAAATTAGTATGTATTAGTAAATACACTCTTACAAAACTGCTGTTGGATTAAATTTGTGTTCTGTTCTCATCAATCCTGTTTAGTTACTGGGCTATTTTACTATGTTTAGCAGCTCCAATTAGACATTCCCAAGAGTGTTTTGAGGATTGTTGGATTTTAGCCATTGGGTCACTTTAACATGCAAGAAACAAAGAAAAATTCATTAAAACTACATTTGCACTCCATCCAGACAAGCGGTACTCTTTTATATACTGAAAAATAACACAATGAAACAATTTTGCACTAAATGTCCACGTGCCTACCTACCTGTGTATAAAAATTCTACCCCAACTTCTTGTGAACTTATTGGTGCACAATAATATTGTATCATGTACTGTATTTTGCGAATATAGAAGACTTACGTATTTGATTTCAGTGAGCTTTGTTCCAGGCTTCAAGTGCCAGTGCATATTTTATGTTAAACAATTCCTCATCAAGTCCTTGTGTTCTTACCTGTCTCACCTAAAATCTGTACATATATGCATTAGTATACTCAAGGTACCTGTAAATATCCCCATAAAAAACAAACTATTAAAGTAGACTGAAATGTTTACAATATCTACGCTTTTGTTTGGGGAACCTGTGATGGAACTTCCAGACAAGCTGAAGAGACAATTCAGAAAACCCTTGATAACTTACTTTATTATATACAAGACGTATAATATATCTGCTTGATCATGTAGAGTTGGGCACTCCTTCAGCTGTTCAACTAACTTCTCACAATCCAAATCACCATGATCATCTTTGGGTAAGTGCAAAACAGCTTCAGAATCCTGATCATCAAAGACAGAAGAGATTTTAAAAAAAAATCCCACCAACAAAAGTATGAAAGAATAAGTAGATGGAACACTAACTCATTAGCTCTGGCTACTCACTGGAGAAGACATAATAATGCACAGTAATACAATTCCTTATTTGAAATTTAGATACACCATGCAGTTTACATCAAGCTACAGTAGAGATGGTGATTAATCCCAGAAAATATAACAGCTAGTATGGAACATTCCCAATACAGTCACAAATACTTTTGGTCCAGTGAGACAGCAGAGATATTATAATACGAGAAAGATTTTTGGCCAAAGAAACTAGAAATTTTGTAACAGCAGGAAACAAACTATTCTCATCTCTCTCCTGTCATGTGTTATTAACTTTATAAATCAGATGTGCATGGGCACTGATCTAATAATTTTTTTAAACTAACAAATTTAGTTGAAATCAAGTAAAAGAAGATTTCCCAACAAGTTCTATTGGTTTCTTCATCTGTACTTCTAAATGGTGCTTTGCAAGTGAAGATATTGCCATTAGCAATTTTCTAAACAACGTATACAATGAATTGGCAGCAAATTGGTTGAGGGAAAATTGTGGTTAGATGAAAGTGATTCTGTTTAATAAACTGTCGGGTGTTGCATGACTAATGCACTCAGGACCATATCCTTTTTCCACGTGCATAAGCGAATATTGGCCTTTGAAGAGAGGAATCCTGCAAGAGGTGGAATCCCATCCTTCCAGGATATGAAACATTTTGCAGCTGACAGTGCACTCTTATAACTGCAGTAGCCTCTGTTGGAGCTATATCTCCAACCTGGTGGGGTTTGGCTGGTAAAGCCACATAGCCACTAGCCATGCCCTGTCCTTTCACAAATCCCCCTCCCCACACACTGCTGTGAATTGAACTTCTTGGAGAACAGCTCAATGGTGGATGGGGAGTGCATATCACACTAAGTTCCCAATATGCTGTCCCTCCATTGCTCTGGTCTTGCGGCCTATCATCCCTATATGGCTATGAAGAGGGTGGGGCAGGATTTGCCTCTAAAAGATAAGTACAAGTTATTTTACTAAGTTTTGCTAATGTAAAAGGAAACATTTCATTCAATAACATACAATTAACTATAATTTCCAAACAAAAACCCCTTTAATGGCCAAAAGTTCATTCCAAATACAATCTTCCAGAACCTGTTGTATAATCATTCCACTAGTTCACCTTCACTTCAAGAAGATGTGGGGAATCAACGAGATTCAGAGATTTCCGGTGAGTGTTCAAAACTTTAGTTGGAAGAGTCATCGAAGCGCCTGAAAAGCAAAACAATCAACATGTAAAGGAAATGCAACATCTAGTAAAAAAATAATACTGAGTGAAAATGTTAGAAACACCTCCAGCAATCAGAATGCAAGAGCCATGCTGTCTGGGACATGGTACACGTAACTTACACACCAAGTTTCACACTCAGGTTTTTATCTTTTCTCATTAAATAGAGACTGATCCAATGTGATTTAATCACATGGTAGCACCCAAAGGCTCAAGCAGAGTCAGTGCCCCATTGTGCTAGATTCTTTACCAACACCCAGTAAAAAAGACAGTCTGTGCGCCAAAGATCTTACAGTCTAATGATGCAATCTAGCACAACACTTAAGAGTGTGATAAACTTTAAGCACAAGAATAGTCCAACTAAGGCAAGTAGCACAACTCATGTACTTAAAGTTAAGGATGTGCTTTACTTGACTGGGACCTAAAATGATAAGACAGGTGAAGACGAATGGCAAACACCTGGTTAATTTCACACTGTTTTTATTATAGTCTCAGGACAGGCTATTTGTGAAGGACAGGGGATAAGGATAACAGGTTTGTACAATACTATTATTTATATAGGGCCTGATCCAAGGTCCAGTGGAGTCTTTCCATTAACTTCAATGGACACTGGATTTCCATATACATTACATGTCTATTTACAGATGGGTTTAGCTGGTAAATTATCTAATAGCCCTTCAATCTATCCATTATTGTTTATAATGCAGCCCTTTTTTCTATTTGTTCTTGTAATTCTGGAGTTTATGTACATTGACTGGCATTTTCTGGTGTTAAAGATGTTTCATTTCCCAATGTCCTTACTAAAAACAAAAGTGGTCAGTCCATTTTAAAACAACACAAATGTAAAAAAACCCAATACATCCAATCACATTGTGGGATCCCATTTCCATTGTCTTTATCTGTCTTTTTTTATTGTAGGTTCCACTCAAAAACAGCACCTGCAAATATGAGTACAAAATAAATTGGGCTAGTTGCAACTGATTTCATATTGTCCATTTAGATGAAATGTTTAAGTTCCATGGCATGTTAATTGCACAGTTACCATGAAATGACATAGGACTATGGGAATAATGAAGCAATCATATTGAAAACAGAGTAACACACTACCTTGTTACTTTCTAGCAACTGCAATTTACTTGTGTCACCAATTGTCAAATTCTGTTATTTACATTTATCACATTTATCATCCAGTAAGAATTAAAAAAACAGAAAACATACATGGAACATCCAAACCCTTTGCCTTGGCCATTATTGACAGTATCTCTCGCATGGAGTGAACAGCACTGAACATATGAGGCTGATTAGCATCCTTTGAAGTTGGAGGCAGGTAGGACTTATGCGCTGTGCTTTGCAGCACATCGTTTATATACTGGTCCAGCTCATCTTGGCTTTCTGGAGAGAGAGAGACAGATAGAAAAGGCTTATTAAAACAAGTGATTGGAAATATTTACATGTGCTTCCTTTTAGAGGCACAGTATCTTTTTTCCACTGAAAAATAACAGAAAGGCAAAAAAGGACAGAGACCAGAGACAACATAGTGAAGGGACACTGTCAACTTGATTTTTTAAAATTGAACAACTTGAAAAAAAATCATGTTTCTAATAGGTTTCTCTTTGAAATAGTATTTCCTGGATTTTTTCCCCTTAAAAAAAAAAAGAAAAATAGCAGGGGAGGTGGTTCTCCAGCTGATGTTTAGAAGGGTCTTTTGGCTGGGCCATAGGGCAACATTACCACACATGATCATGCACACACCTAACTTCACTGTCAGTTTTGCTGCTGCTATTACAGGTAAACACCCTCTTATGAGGGCTGGGGAAGAACGTGCGCATGAGCTCCCTTCCCAAAGAAATACATGAGTATTGTCACCCTACTAGTGCCTGAGACACACAGCGACTGACCATCAACTGTCAAATGCACATAAACAGTGAAAATAAAGACCTTTTTTCTCCCCTCTAAATTAGGTATTATAGTAAACTTAGAATTTAATTATAACAACAGGACACACAATACTTCCAAGTTAAAGATTGTTACCTTTGTCAAATAAATCATCTGGATACACTTCTAATTCATATCCACTTTCGGGACTATCACAGCCATCATTAGAATCATCGAACAGTTTTCCGTCACAGTCTGGATCCAGGAAGCTCAGATGCGTATAGAACGAGGTGCTAAGAAAATCTGACAGTTTGCCTAGCTTTACCCTGCGAACAGGAAAACATGTAAGAAAGAATTAACATCTTTCCATTTTTATATTGGATTGTGCTTCATTGGACAACCCTGGAAACCCCTTCAAAATCCACCCAGGCCCACTGTCACATCCACATTTGGTAATTAGGCAATAATTGGTACCAGCAAAGAAACAAAACAATAAATGTGCCCAGTAAATAAACACAGATCTGGTGGATGCTGTTGTAGCTATTATTATTTATTTGTATTATAGTAGTGCTTAGAGGCCCAAATCAAGGTCACAGCCCCATTGTGCAAGGAGCTGTACATACATATAGTAAGAGATAGAATTTTATCTTTTTGGAGCAGGAATGCATTCCCACAGAATGCTACTTGTTTAATGGAAAAAGGTTTAGCACCACTGAGACCATGGGTTCAGCCTCCTTTGACAAAAATTAAAAGCCACAGGTAGAATGTAAAGCTGATTTAAGGCTCCAAGAGATGCCAATAGTGGGAAATTTAGTAGAAAACTAGTGTGGAAATAATAAACAAATAAGCATTATTTTTATTTATAACCTAATGGGAAGGGGGGGGGGAGAGAGAGAGAGAGAGAGAGAGAGAGCGTGTACACACTTATTCATATATACACATATATAATGCACCTTTAATTTCAAAAATTTGATAAGTATTTTAATGAAGATCATTGTTTTTTATACCATGTTTCTGAAAACCCACAAATCTCCAACATCCAATATTGATGCTTAATTAAGATTTAATTTCAAGCCTTGGAAATCTCAAAAGAACAATCTGTTAATAAAAACGATGGATGTTAGATCTGTAGACCTGGTTCTGCTAAGAACTTTACATTGCTGTTATTTGTAGATCCAACTTGTGACTAATTTCCGTGTAACAATTCAGATTGAAATTCACCCTATGGAGAGGGCTAGCACAAGGTCTATGAACCACTCAGATCTTCAAAACACGGGGACTTAAATGGGACTTAATTCAAAGAAACAGTGGAATAATTGCTTTTGGATAGTGACATTACCTTGCCCCTCCAAAATACCCATCGTCTAATTTTCTTATGGTTGCAAGCACTGCTGGATCAATGTCAGAGCCATCATCGACTAGAAAGAAACATGAAAACTGTATTTAGTTTGGGAACAAATGTCTATTTAATATTTTTAAATCACTTGACCATTTTAACATGATCAGTTTACTTGTAAGTAACCAAAATAGTTTTGATTTTAAAATGGATATTGAGTCACTGATTAAGATCCCAATTGTGTTTACATAGCTGTGTGTGATTGAGTCCTTAGCTGAACTGGGGACTAGTTTTAGGGTACGTATACACTACAAGATTAATTCGAATTTAGATAATTCGAATTTGGGAAACAGATTGTATAAATTCGATTGTGCGCGGCCACACTAAGCACATTAATTCGGTTTTTAACCACATTAATTCGGTGGTGTGCGGCCACACTACCCCATTAATTTTAACCACATTAATTCGGTGGTGTGCGGCCACACTACCCCTAATTCGAATTAACAAAATCGATTTTGGTGCTACTCCGCTTGTCGGGGTGGAGTACAGAAATCGATTTTAAGTGCCCTTTAATTCGAAGTAACTGGCTCCGTTGTGTGGACGGGTTAAGGATTAATTCGGATTAACGCAGCTAAATCCAAATTAAAATCGTAGTGTAGACCAGGCCTAAGTATAGAACTAGAGACAACAGATGGGGGTTAACAGGGAAACAATGAGACAATACTGGTCATCATGATAATTAGTGACCCTAGCACACTGGTGGCCTAGCTGTTGTCAAGTTTTTTGTAGATATCATGGACAAGTTTTAAGGAGGATTTTGAGAAGGATAATGAGGTAGCTTTGTGGATGTTTATGGGAAGCAAACTCCCAAGTCTGCGGAGCAGCATGGGGAAAAGCATGTTTGAAAATTTAACAAATGGGTGGTGGAGGCTGGCATCATGGGCTGATTGGAGGCATGTTGATAGCGTATGAGAGATGATAGGTAGGATAGCCCATGAAAGGCATTGAAAGTGAAGACAAGCCACTTGTGTTTGATGCTATAGAGAAGAGGGCAG